TGCTATTTGTTTTAAATAAAGAAAACAGCTAGCTACATGCGTACTTCTGCCATATAGACTGAAAATTTCAACAGAATTCAATGACAACTAGAGTTCCACGAGCATCCAGGCTCGAAATGGTCTGAACACACCCGCCAGTGGACGCTCTTCTTGTGTACTAACTCCTTGATTTTCTCCGGCGTCAGTTTATTTACAAGATTGTTCCTCATGCTGACCAACCACCTGTGTAGCCTATCGTGGTCTTTTGGAAACTTGTGGAAGCTTACGCCGCGCTCCTTTGACGCAGGGCCATACCAACAGCCACAACGTGCACAACGCGGCATACTTGCAGCGAGCTATGTACTGGCAGACAGACTGAAATGGCGCGCGCTCCAAATCTGTTCCAATGAAACCTTTTACGTCACAGATTCAGTCGCAGCGCCGCCTAGCGGACAATCTGGCGCTAGCCGCGAAACATCGATCGGGTCAGATATCACGGCAAATATGTGCGGGGTTGGCAGAAACCAATAAATCACCATTTACAAATAGGATTTTGGGTAGAAAGGCCCCAAAACTGAAAGTATTGGACTTCCCCTTTAAGAGAAGGTGAACAGCATTAAACATAACTTATTCAAATAATGACCCATTTGCATAATTTATGAGGAGGTGCTATTTGAGATGGTTACAAGACATGACTGTTTATCTTGTTAACTTGTTATGTTACGCGCGCCCCTAGTCATGGTTGAGCCCTAACTTACCATGACAGAACCAGCCGTTATCGTGCAGTGTGTACCCGTCCCAACAGGAGCAGTTATACCCGACCACGGTGTCGGTGCAGACCTGGGCGCAGTTGTCACTACTCTCCGCACATTCGTCTACCTCTGTGATGTTCACTAAAACAAACAAAGTGCCTATGTGTGAGATTAAATCCAAGACTGTTGAGAACAGTTTCTTAGATTACAAGGAGAGGGTTAAGAGGGGAGAGATACGGTAGAAATTGAAATTAACAAAACTTGAAATTCATTCCTGAAGCTCTCTAATTTGACCTTAAGATTTCAATAACTTACCTGAGACTGCGACGTGGAACAGCATCGTAAGAAGAGCCATCAGGAAGACACCTCGCAGTACATCTTTGAGTGGATACTTCATCTTGGGTGGAGGGAAGGAATGGCTGTAGTTGTAGGGACAGATGTCTTAATGTCCTCCCAGAACGTCACATTTTCGTTCCCACCATATTGTTTGTTCTTACGCGTGGTAGAACGACGTTCGAAAATTCGAACGGCCGAACTTCGAACGGCGTTCGCCCGCGCTTTTCCGTGATTACGTCACTATCTATGTAGACTTCCTTCGAAGCGTCTGGAGCCTTATTTGAAGTGTGATAAGTGTGATACTGTATACATATAAAGCCCCAAACATGGACAGCGTCGCGGTTTTGTTGATGCTCAGAGGTACTTGTCGTATCTCCAATCATCAAATAAGCTCGAAACTCAATGTGCGGTTTAATAGGAATCTTGTAATGATGAGTAACAACTAGCTCTAACAGACTAACGTAAACGTTAACGTTTGTTACCCGGAGTCTAATTGTATTTCTTCGTATCTTGTTGTTCTCTGTGTCTCTGTTCTCCTGTTGTGATTTTGCTCAATATTTCAGATCAACTCACTGGATAAACTCACGATTTTTTATGTCATGCCCACCCGGGAAAACACACATTTGAATGCAAATTAATGCGCCAAAAGTTGGTGTCGCTTGATTTTTTTGAACAAAAAAATGTACGTGTCATGTAAATATATATATTATGTCAAAATATGGCTTTCGCATCAAAACATGCTGTCTTCAGGTGGATATACCTCTTCATATTGTCTCAGAAGAAGCATCCCTATCGCGATATCGTATTTCATGCAAAACTATGAGATTCCCTATAAGGTTCCTATCATATTGAATAAACGGTAGTGTGACATCATGATCTGAGAATAAGCTTCACTCATTTTAATCAGAACCATGTGAAGAAAAGGCCACGCATTGTAACAGTTTACTAGTGGCTCATGACGGGGTTGAACTCCACGACCTTGTTGACGGGAAAGGCTGACGAGCTGTGCTATCTGCAGCAGGTCGTCTGCGGTGGGTGCCCGGACGTCCATGATCAGCTCGGCGCTGCCGGAGTTGCAGGTATCACACGGGTCGTTCACGCCGAGCGACGTGTCGTGGGAGAAGTACTGCTGCGTGACGACCTCACGGTACCCGTGCGCAGTCACACTGAAATTACACCATCATAAATCACAAACTTTATTGCACAACAATCATTACTGCACATCATTACATGGCTTTATACAATGTTTAGAGTTAGATTTTCAAGGGTTAGGTGTAACAAGTCGTTCGGAGTATTATTATAATGTAGCCAGCTGCCGCCGCACTGCGTGCCTGCAAAGCTTGCGTGTTACGCCGAAGGGCGGTTATACCGGCTATACCGATACAGATACAGAACAATTGTAACAGGTACAATGTATGGCAAATTCATTAGAAGTACTAAATACGGAACTAATATCTACGCTATTGCCTCAACAATGCTAGGAAATTCTATTTCTATATAAATAAACATTACTTGGGCTTGAAGGTCTGATGCATGCTATGTAATCTCCAGGCAGATCTTTCTGTGGCTGCAAAGACAGTATAAAATTGGCGGTATCCATTTGCCAGACAGTTACCATTTGCCACCATGTACTGATGAGAGTACTCTCTCTAGATGTAACGCTTTTGCCGCCAGACATCTGCTTGGAAATTAGATGATGATATGTTGTATACACACCGGTAGTGGATGTGTGCGGGGCGGTAGTAATACCCCAGCTTGTACTTCCCCGGCATCGTGGTGACGAAGCTGAACGCCCCCTGTTGATCCGCAGTGAACTGCACCCGGCAACGGTCGTCATAGTACCTTACATGCCATGGAAATTATGAAGACCTTTATTGTACGCAAATACCCACTGGGTTCAGTACAGGTCACAGGAAAGACATCACAGTTTGCAATGAATATATACTATGTACAGGCTAGTGTTAATTCTATGTACTATGGACATATAGTCTAATAATTACGATAATTTGGCTTCTTCTCGCTTCTTAGTAATGATGTAGATATAAGTACATGTACAGATGTGTTTTATAATCGAAGGTTTGTCTAAAGCCATTAGAAATATGAAATTATCTGTGTTGCTAAGATGTATGAAATGGGGAAACATACATTGCAATAGTTTATAAAGATCAGCTCTCTCTTCGTTGTATAAACTACATTCTAATACAAAGTGTTCCTCATCCTCTAACCTATTTAGATTACAATGCCTACATATTCGTTGTTCCAGTGGAGTGCGGTTATGACGTCCAGTTTCAATGTGTAGTTTTGTGGCAGCTTATCCTGAGTTTTGTAGTGGCGTAATAATAACTATCAACGTTACATCATACAGTACAGGGAAGAGTTAAGATTATCTGCTACAAACCAAAGACAAGATAGACTCTAAATCAAGTAATGTAAGATGTCTCACAGTCCTGTCTTGTCCGCCTGCCACACCTCAACGTTCGCTCCATGCACAGGGTGACAATGTACGTCGTACACCTGACGATACGGAACGGAGACAATAAATGTTAAAGCAAGAAAATTTAACTTTGTCGGCAAGATAAAAGGTACGGGCCCGTAAATAATTTCATCGGGTTTGTGAATGATTGCATATCAAAGTTCTTTATTTTACAACCACAACTCGACTTATAAGATGCCAATAACCCTGATGAAGATGACAGACGGTTATAGAAACAAGTGGTTGTGAATAAAAAAATTTATATTCAAGAGCAAAGGTATGGATTTGCTTAATTTCTCCTTCAGTTGAGTAACCAGTATTATGAAGGAATAGATAAAGTCAGCGATTGCAAAGTCGCGAATGATGCGAATTTTACAATGGTTAAATAGATGTTTACAACTAATATCGGCCTTACCGTTCCCTTGACGAACATGTAGTCGTCTTCAGCCGTCCCAAAGCACATGGTGCGGGATACGGGCGTGTTGGGTACGTAGTACGGTCCGAGGTCATCTCCGGGAGTTACCGAACAACCTAGGTGTAAGTACATGAGTGGAACGTAATACAGACTGTACATAGGTCATAAAGCTATATCATATACGTGTGTATGATTTTTTTTTACAAAATAGATCCAGCCATGTTATTGAAGTGTCAGCAGTCAAAAGCCTAGTCCATGTAACACAGTTTCTCGCCACTCAAGGCACAGTTTACAGCTCCAACGTTCAGTGTACATGGAGATGGGGTTGTGTGGCGTAACGGCAGATCATTCGGCTCAGAACCAAGAGGTCCGGGGTTCGAATCCTGCCAAGTCACCAACCTTGTGCCTGCAGCTGTTCTTGTACGGCCACAAGACCACGATAATCTGCTCTGGATTCTTTATGTCATTATTACTGTGTTGTATAAGTTGTTATATTTATAGTTAATTTCATTATATTTCAGTAGTAACTAGTTTATATATTGTTTTTATAAATAATATATTTATGTATCTGCTCGTGTTGCAGGGGAGACAACAAGCAGAGACGAGCAATCACCTGTTTCGTCTCCCTCTTTATTGTGCAATGGAAAACTCTAATAAAGAAATAAAGTTGCCCCTCGAGCTACATGTAGCTAAAAGGGTGTGAATGTTAACAGATAATTAAATGAGGTCTACTTTACCATCCTGATGTCCATTCCCAGTGTCCGTACCAGGCACGAACTGGGCACAAGCTGTGCCAAGCAAGAGGAACAGGCAGACAATCGGCGAAGGCATCTTTGCAGAGTACTCAAGACAGCACGGCAACTGAACGCGCGCGTTCGGTCTCTGTGTTCTTATATACACCGCGGGGAACCTTTATGTTTTATATTTAGACATATACAAACAGACTTTCTTATCTTATAGTTATACATAGCCCGAAAGTCGATGAGAGGTAGGTCCTCTACTGCTCATATTATATGTAGACTATTATCTTTATTAGAAATTGTCTTGTCTCTTCATATTCAATAGATATATGATACTGATAGTGGTATCTGCATATAGACGGGTGACGTTGACCAATCAGAAGGCTCCATTCCACATTCCTTATGACGCCGTAATGTCACAAATAGAGTCAAAATCGGGTATTTATTCATCCAAATCCATACATTAAACAACCCAATAATCACCCATATATGACCTCATGTGACCCAAAAGAACACGGCTCTAGTTCTAAAAAATCCAAAAATAACTTAAGTTGTGTTCCAATGACTTCGGGTGACTCCCATAAGAACACCTGTTCCCTACCTGTGATCCAGTTAGAAGGTGAACTCTACCCAGTGACCTCAGGTGACTCCAGATGGAACTATGTTCTATTCAGCATGTGCAACGTGTAAATTGTACATTGTGTCACTTACTGCATCAGTTTGGATAGGCTATCGTGTAAGCTATATGATAATAGCGAATATGGTGTGATAAAGCCTTATCAGTTGCTATAACCACCTCATCAAGCCACCTCGTTCGCTGCGCTCACTTGGTGACTTTATTCGGTGGTTATAGCAACTGACAAGGCTTTATCACACCATATTCACCTCGGGGTGGGTCATTAACCCTTAATTAATGTAATAATAGTGATGCTTTTTCGAATATTGATTATTATGCTACCAATCATATGCTTCACCAAACGAGGTGTGATAGAAGTATGATCAATTCTATCAACAACACAGGAAGGCAGACGTCACTTTGGTGATAAGAACCCTTCCTGCCACGTGGGTGGTTAGCTTGCTGGATGAGAAAGAAACACCTGGCCTTATGTAAGCTGTTTATATTGATAACATGTGCTGGGCACTAGCTATGTTTGAATGTACACATTATGTAACTTTCACAGGCGCTGATCGGGGTCGTAACGATCATTCAGAAGGCCGCTAGGGGGCACGATTCAATCTGCAGCCTATGATACATTGTATAAGAGAACTCCTTGTCAGTACCAGATACGCATGGTACAGGGATATCAAACATCTATATTTATAGAAATTAGGACCCCTCCCGTTACACATAACAATCGTTCTGAGATGAATTACACAACTGTGATACCGCTTACTTATGATTAAAGTTTTATGTGCCTTGTCTTGTTTTGATGGGTGCACGTGGCAATGGAACCATATATCGCTACATATGTCGACTGGTAACCAATGCAAAGGGAATGCAAATATGTGTTGTTTTATGTCAAAATATTATGTCAAAATATGGTAACCTGGGATGCTTCCGCATCACACCACGCTGTATTCTTCATCTTGTCTCAAAAGGAGCATGTACGGATCAAAAAGAAGAAAGAAGCATACCTAGCGTATTTCATGCAAAACAACGGTTTAGATTCCTGTCATATTGGACACATGCGGCAATGTGACATCAGAATAAGTTTCATTCATTTTTTGTAATCACAACAATGTGAAGAAATGGCTACGCGTGTAACAGCGACTTGTATGTGTCTAGATGCTGTCCTGGTCACTAGTGGCTCATGACGGGGTTAAACTCCACGACCTTGTTGACGGGAAAGCTGACGAGCTGTGCTATCTGCAGCAGGTCGTCTGCGGTGGGTGCCCGGACGTCCAGAATCAGCTCGGCGCTGCCGGAGTTGCATTCCCCGCACGGGTCGTTCACGCCGAGCGACGGGTCATGGGAGAAGTACTGCTGCGTGACGACCTCACGGTACCCGTGCGCAGTCACGCTGAAATTACACCATCATAAATCACAAACTTTGTTGCACAACATACATTATTGCACATCATTAGATAGTTTTAAACACTGTTTAGTGTTAGATGTTCAAGGGTTAGGTGTAACAAGTCGTTCGGAGTAATGTAGCTAGCTGCCGCCGCACCACGTGCCTGCAAAGCTTGCGTGTTACGCCGAAGGGCGGTTATACCGGCTATACCGATACAGATACAGAACAATTGTAACAGGTACAATGTATGGCAAATTCATTAGAAGTACTAAATACGGAACTAATATCTACGCTATTGCCTCAACAATGCTAGGAAATTCTATTTCTATATAAATAAACATTACTTGGGCTTGAAGGTCTGATGCATGCTATGTAATCTCCAGGCAGATCTTTCTGTGGCTGCAAAGACAGTATCAAATTGGCGGTATCCATTTGCCAGACAGTTACCATTGCCACCATGTACTGATGAGAGTACTCACTCTAGATGTAACCCTTTTGACATCTGCTTGGAAATTAGATGATGATATGTTGTATACACACCGGTAGTGGATGTGTGCGGGGCGGTAGTAATACCCCAGCTTGTACTTCCCCGGCATCGTGGTGACGAAGCTGAACGCCCCCTGTTGATCCGCAGTGAACTGCACCCGGCAACGGTCGTCAAAGTACCTTACATGCCATGGGAATAATATCAATGCTACATTATGAAAATCTGATGAACGTAACTATCAAGATCAATGTTACATCATATAGGAAAGATTATCTATAACAAACCAAAGACAAGATAGACTCTAAATCAAGATGTCTCACAGTCCTGTCTTGTCCGCCTGCCACACCTCAACGTTCGCTCCATGCACAGGGTGACAATGTACGTCGTACACCTGGCGATACGGAACGGAGACAATAAATGTTAAAGCAAGAAAATTTACCTTTGTCGGCAAGATAAAAAGTACGGGCCCGTAAATAATTTCATCGGGTTTGTGAATGATTGAATATCAAAGTTCTTTATTTTATAACCACAACTCGACTTATAAGATGGCCAATAACCCTGATGAAGATGACAGACGGTTATAGAAACAAGTGGTTGTGAATAAAAAAAAATTATATTCAAGAGTAAAGGTATGGATTTGCTTAATTTCTCCTTCAGTTGAGTAAAACCAGTATTATGAAGGAATATATAAAGTCAGCGATTGCAAAGTCGCGAATGATGCGAATTTTACAATGGTTAAATAGATGTCAAAAGTACCCTGACTGTTTACAACTAGTATCGGCCTTACCGTTCCCTTGACGAACATGTAGTCGTCTTCAGCCGTCCCAAAGCACATGGTGCGGGATACAGGCGTGTTGGGTACGTAGTACGGGCCGAGGTCATCTCCGGGAGTTACCGAACAACCTGTACATGAGTGAGACGTAATACAGACTGTAGCATAGGTCATAAAGCTATATACGTGTGTATTAAGTTTTTTTTTTACCAAATAGACCCAGCCATGTTACTGAAGTGTCAGTAGCCTAGTCCGTGTAACACAGTTTCTCGCCACTCAAGGCAAATTTTACAACTCCAACGTTCAGTGCACATGGAGATGGGGTTGTGTGGCGTAACGGCTGATCATTCGGCTCAGAACCAAGAGGTCCGGGGTTCGAATCCTGCCAAGTCACCAACCTTGTGCCTGCAGCTGTTCTTGTACGGCCACAAGACCACGATAATCTGCTCTGGATTCTTTATGTCATTATTACTGTGTTGTATTCTAAAGTTGTTATATTTAATTTCATCATATTTCAGTAGTAACTAGTTTACATATTGTTTTTATAAATAATATATTTATGTATCTGCTCGTTTTGCAGGGAGACAACAAGCAGAGACGAGCAATCACCTGTTTCGTCTCCCTCTTTATTGTGCAATGGAAAACTCTAAAGTAATAAAGAAATAAAGAAATAAAGTTGCCCCTCGAGCTACATGTAGCTAAAAGGGTGTGAATGTTAACAGATAATTAAATGAGGTCTACTTTACCATCCTGATGTCCATTCCCAGTGTCCGTACCAGGCACGAACTGGGCACAAGCTATGCCAAGCAAGAGGAACAGGCAGACAATCGGCGAAGGCATCTTTGCAGAGTACTCAAGACAGCACGGCAACTGAGCGCGCGCGTTCGGTCTCTGTGTTCTTATATACACCGCGGGGAACCTTTATGTTTTATATAATAGACATATACAGACTTTCTTATCTTATATCTCTATATCTTATCATAGCCCGAAAGTCGGTGAGAGGTAGGTCCTCTACTGCTCATATTATATGCAGACTATTATCTTTATTAGAAATTGTCCTGTCTCTTCATATTCAATAGACATATGATACTGATAGTGGTATCTGAATATGTAATAATAGTGATGCTTTTTTCGAATATTGATTATTATGCTACCAATCATATGCTTCACCAAACGAGGTGTGATAGAATTATGATCAATTCTATCAACAACACAGGAAGGCAGACGTCACTTTGGTGATAAGAAGCCTTCCTGCCACGTGGGTGGTTAGCTAGCTGGATGAGAAAGAAACACCTGGCCTTATGTAAGCTGTTTATATTGATAACATGTGCTGGGCACTAGCTATGTTTGAATGTACATATTATGTAACTTTCACAGGCGCTGATTGGGGTCGTAACGATCATTCAGATGGCCGCTAGACACGATTCAATCTGCAGCCTATAATATTAGAGAACTCCTTGTCAGTACCAGATACGCATGGTACAGGGATATCAAACATCTATATTTATAACGGTATAAAAGCCACACTGAATGTGTCTTTCTGGTTCATGTGTTTGTTTTGCACATGAAAAATACTACAGGAATCCCATAATGCGAGACTCTGAAACACATGTGCCACGGTGAAAACGCTACTTGCTGCTATCAGATCACTTTTTAATATATTAGAAACATTTAGAAACGTACGAGGGTTCACAGTCGTGTAGTCAATCAGGTGCATAGAAAACACCACAGTAATACAGTATTCAAGAAACTGTTAGGCAAGAACAAACTAGATCACTCATGAATGTATCTTGACTCCTCCACGGTTCTCGGTATAAATACCTTGATCCATCCATTTGAAAGAAAGTTAAAGCCCTCTTTTATAATATTAATACCCCCGGTGGGTATCGAGTGGTTCGCCCCTGCACAGGAATCAGAGTTCCTGCCTCTTCCATAAATTCCCGAAGTCTGGCATCCATTCAAAACTCCCCGCCAGCCTGCGATGACTAAAGTTTGGAGTAAGATAAGAATCTCGCGGCTGCGCCCCCGTTTTGGGTCAAAGACTTTGCAAGATGGCAACCAGCGTGGGTACGTATGGAAGTCAAACGTCCAAATGTTTGGAATCCTGAGAAAGCAGTGACCTCAGTTTGATCATTGTTGAAGAACGAAGAGACATGATACTGGTAGAGGGAGGCTCGCATGTACGCTGGAGTTGGTGATCGAAATGCCCATCATCAAAGAAGGTGAGAAAATATTGGAACATTTCAATGTTCTTGTTTCACTTGCACTGCTTTAGTGTTTCAATTTTGGGAGAATTCCGTTTGTCATACAACTTCTTGTGTGATATACTTTGAACAAGACTTACTCTCTTACTAGTCTTAGTGTAATGTCTTTTGGTGTCTAGTTTTGAGTGAAAACGGATTATTGTCTTAGTTGCACTTGAGCCAATATACTAAATTCCAAGCATTTTATTGGTAGTTTGTTATAATGTCACATTGACTTAACATTCCATCTGAAAACCTGTTGTTCCAGTAACAAATTTTACTTTAAAATGCAACAGTAATTTCAAACCAATTGCAAGCTACCTCTGACTGTAAGTTGAAAGAGATATCAACAGACTACAAGATAAAGATCTCTCTTCTCAATAGGTAGATTTGAACAAAACTGTTACCCAATTGAATGTCAAACTTGTTAGCTGACCTTCACTTGACACAGTCATACAAAGTTCAAAGAAGTAAATCATCAAAAACTGCAGGGAACACTTAGCAAAAGTCAGAAAATTTATCAACATGTACAGAGTAGCTATCAAACCATGGTGTTGGTCCCTGTAGTGCAGGTTAGATTTGTTTTCAATCAGCTGAACCTGACCTACGATGTCCTGACCTTGACGGAGAAAATTCCAGACCTCCCCAGGAGTCCATTCCATGTGCCCTCCCTCCATTCCTACTTCTACAACTCATAGTTTCCAGATGTCTCTGCATTGGGACTGTTTAAGGTCTTTAAGTGTAGGAACTTGTTTTTGGAAGATTTGTGTACAAAAAAGATCGAGATCAGTCAAGGGACAGTTGACTTGAGTGCATAAGCTTCAGTAGATCAAGTTCTTATGTCATGAAGCAAGTTTGACAAAGACTGGAGTTGTACAGTCGAAAATTTGGGTGAGCACCAATTTGTTGTGTTGGAAATTACAGTTCAAACTTGCTTCATGATGATTTCTACAAACACAGATGAACTTTCAAGATAAGTTCTTATGTCCTGTTTAATGAATTCATCATTTGTAGTTATGCACATTTAATAAAAGAAAATACATATATACTATTTGCAGCAAATTTCTCCATACAAGACAATATCATAACGCTTATACTGTCCTGTACATGTAGGATTTGATATTTCTGACTGGGAGAATAGTTAGAGGAAAGAGATAAATGGTACTAATTCCAAAGAATTACATTCTAAAACTGTGGTTTTTGGAGTTCCTGGACAATGTCATAATGGGCCCTCCCAATAGTAGAAAATGGAATAGCCCAATTAAAGAAGCTCCCCTCCTGTGCAGGTGAGGATGAAGTTACCACCTGGGACATGTCATGTTATGCTAAGGATTACCTGGTCTGAAAAGGGACACATTTCTATTTCACACACGATCAACTTCAATTCAAGTGGTAAAGTGTATGTAATTACTGTAAACGTTGTCTCAAGGACTAAACATCCTTGTTAAGTTAACATTGTCTTAGTAGGTGTAACTGACAGCTAAACTTTGAAGTACAAGAACCATGTAAACACCAGACTTCCTTACTTAGGGACCGAGGAAAAAAATGTTGTGTCTCTGGTTTCCTCGACCGGCCCTGTAAAAACCTGCCGACCCAAGCCTTTTTTTTTTTATTGACCTCTGTCAATTTTCTATCTGACATCTGAACTATTTTCAAAATCTCTGAAACATTATTTTTAGAGGCAAATTTTTGTTGAGTAAATCGAGTGAAAAAATTGCCCCTTCCCCACAAGCAAATGGGAAGGGTCATCCTTGATCCTGATGCATTTCAGTTATTAAACTGTGAAAAAGTGACAAAAAGATAAAAGAGAATCCCCACCTTCTAACCTTAATTTTGTTCAGGATGGAGACCGAAAACACAGCATTTTCTTTCCTAGGCCTGAGAGAAGCTGTTTATAACAATGAGTCCCCCAGTCCCCCTGTAATCCATGTAAACTGTGGACAGGATGCAGCTGCTCTCTGGGATTGCATGTCAGTAGGGACTAACCACTAGAGATATGGGTGAGCCCTCATGACCAGTCAGATAGCAAGAGAAGATTGGACAACCCACCCATGGTTCACAATGGATTGTCCCATCTTGACTTTTACTTCTAGGGGATCTTAATCTCATGGTATTAATGGATTTATTCTTCATCAGTGTTAATCAACATGCAAATTACTGTAATTACATAGAGAATGCAAGGAAGTTGTATGGAAGAAGATGCCGAGGTCATGATAGAATAATCCTATGTGATGCCTACACATGTACCTTTAGGCACTTGGTATAAGCCAGTTGGAATCTTTTCAAAGAAAGAAAAGTAGGCAACATAAGATCTTTTGTACACACTAAAAAAGCTGTATAATATACATGAATGTTAGAAAATGTTTGATTTCTACAGAAAACTACTTCTACAACATTTGTATTATTTTTCTGACACTTAGAATTTACGAATATGCTGTATACTCACTACACATTTAACATATTATGTAAACCTATAAAAATATTTAGGTGCACTGGTGCACCCATAGAAAAAATTGGGTGCACAGCTCCAAATTGGATGCACTAAGGTGCACATACACCCAGTATTATGAGCCCTGAAAACCCATAGGCAAAAGCAATTGCCATACAGTATAATTCCACCTACACTCTCCCCCTGCAGATATAGACCGAGCTGTGCAGGCCCTCCAGTCTGTGCTGAAGTCCCTGACTGATCCTGAAGACGCCGTCCACAGATATGTGCTGAGATGTGCACTACACATGATGAAGAGCAGGCTCTTTTATGCTATCATAGACATTTGTCAACAATATGTACAGGTACTGCAGTTTCTTTAGTGTGATGTATAAAAAGGATAATTTGCTTTTAAGACCTAGTGTGCGGCCTGTAGTGTTTGTTGTGGTTACCGTACTTCTTGTTAGTTGCTTGTGCTTCGCAATTAATTGACAGAGCATATTGCATATTGCATTTTGACAGAGCATATAACATTCAAGTTTGCATGAAAACTAATCTGTGTTGGTAGTTAATGTTGGTGTAAGGTAATAGCTGAAGAGGAAGGTCATATTTCTTGAAAAATGTGTAGCCTCTTCAGAAACTCTTTTATTTTAGTTTTTTTTTCCCTTTTTCTCATCATCTTAGCCTGTGTTACTGTTACACAATGAGGACCTGCATGGGGGGTAGTGATCACGAATTACATTTGTACACAAAATTTTCACAAAATTTTCACAAAATTACGCCTTACAAAAATTGAATGCAGGCCCTCTACATTCTCTCACTGCCTGGGCCTGGCCAGTAGAATGACTGATACTGTGATAGAAGCATGATGTAGTTTGGCTATTCCTCATTTATTCCCACCTTAGGCCACACCAATTCAATTTCTTGGTTAACGGATTCGCCCGCTTCATTTTTTCTGATTTGCAAATAAAAATAAAAATTCAGAATCAACTGCAAAATGCTGATATTTTGCCCTGAACAGCTGAAAACAGTCCTTTTCTTCCTAGTTGTTACAGTCATTCCATCTTTCAATGCAATGGTATCATTAAAGTTCAAAATTCATTGTTCAAATTTTGAACCAGCCTGGTGTGTTGACTTCATGGCTCCTATCGTACCATTTTGGGCCATAATAGGATGCCTAGGCCTGTTTTTATTTATTTTTTTTTTCGCCCGCCCGCTCCATTATTTTTCTTGAAAAATCCGTTAACCAAGAAATTAAATTGGTGTGGCCTTACCCTCCTGTTAGACCCTAGAGTTCTCCCTGGACTGGAGTGACAGTGCACAGGTGGCTCTGATTGGTGCAGACAGCAGTACAGACCAGGACTTCAGCTTCTCCAGCACTCCCCCTGGTCAGATTCTTATCATTTACTCAGCACAATTTGTCAAAATGTTCCTACTTAGGCTTACAGACAATTGTCTATTTCAGTCATAGAGGGAAATAAAAACAACAAGCCCTGGGTGTTGGCAGTTGAATGTATTTGTTTGTGAATTAAGACAACGGGAAACAAGGAATCTCTCTAAGGATTAGCCTGGGTGCCATCCGAATTGTAACGGCAACCCCCAAAAAAATTCTTCAGGGTAGTCCTTAGAAATCGGATGGCACCCAAGCTAGAGCAGGGTGGGTAAACTAACAGAAAATGGCAATTGAAAATGTTGTTCTCAAAGAGTTCTCAAGAATTACAAAGGACAATGGTAAAATAAAAAATTAATGTGCCTTCAATATAAATATGCATACCTTGGGAATAACTAAATTTACCAGTAGTAGATTTCTTTTAATTCTTCATAATAATATGGACATTTTACAATTTAATGGTATTGTTTTATAAAAGTTTGTTATCTGCCTCTTCCTGTTTCAGGTGAGCCCTGGTGCATGACAGGTTTCAGTAGCCTGGACTTCCCCTCCACAGCCTCCTCCCCCAGCCCCCACTGTAGGACACCTCCCTTCCTCATGAACCTGGAGGACGATTTCCCGAGCAGCGCCCCTTGCAGATGTTCTGGGAACTGCAGAAAACGTGAGCCTCCCAAATCCTACATTGTTAGTTCCATGCCATCACCAATATTGATCAACACACATGTCAGACATTGGCACAAGATCTTTTGTATGATAAGATTAAGAAGTTTTGCCTGAGATTGTTGATGGTATTTTTGCAGATGCTGCAGAGACAAAAATACCTGAACAGCCTGAACCAAAGCGACAGAGAATAGACCACCAAACCTGCTTAGATGATGAGTGGTACTGTGGTGTTGAGGAGGACGTGGAATCACTTGACAGACAAGTAATGTTACAGTCTTCTTTTCTTTATATTGTACATTTATGGTATTTTATTTGAATTAAAGAATTTTGCAATAAAAGCACATATACATAGGTGATATAGACTTTACATACTATGTTCACTATGATACAATGCATCATCAATTGTGAGTATTGGTACTGAATCACTATTGAAACAAGTACTACAGTATTTGTGCTTTGTACAGAAGATTCTCTTGAGGTAGTACACTAAGGATACATTTGTTAACAGAGTACTTTACAGACCAACATTGAAATGAATTGGGACTTATCCCAAATTTTTGGCTGAACTCCACCAGCCATGTTCACGGAATAGAGTATATAGACTAAGGCTACGTGTATCTGTTGTTGCAGTCAGAAGAACTACGACTGGTAGAGGTTATTAAAGGTGTGGGGGGCCTTGGTCTGAAGCTGGTGGGCTCGGAGCATCATGGGACTTTCATCTCCGAGGTGACACCAGGGGGCGTGTCCTGGATGGATGGGAGGCTGCTCATAGGGGACCAAATTGTTGCAGTAGATAATTATGACTTAGGTGGGTGGTAAAATGTAGTTCTTTTGAGATACATTTTTTTACATAGCACGTGCACATACAAGCTAGCTTATTCATGGCTCACTTGTGCTGAAGATTTATCCTGACTTCTTTTTAATCCTTGCAGGGGGCCGGTCCCATTTGGCAGCTGCTGACTACATTTTGGTGAGTTACTAAATCAGATGTTCTGCTGTCCTTTGTGCTGAATGACTGGAACATAGATGTTCCTGGTGCTCTCCACCCTCTGACATAGCTGACATGTTTCAGTAGCTTGGACTTCCCCTCCACAGCCTCCTCCCCCAGCCCCCACTGTAGGACACTCATAGCTGTCCCTGGAACTGAAACTTAGCAATTTCTGGTGCTCATTGACTCCCAAAGCTGTTCTTCATGCTGAATAACCTTCACACAGTGTCACTGGGAATAACTCATAGAACTGTCCTTGGTGCTGAATAACCTTCACACAGTGTAACTGGGTCTGACACATAGAACTGTCCTTGGTGCTGAATGACCTTCACACAGTGTCACTGGGGCTCATTCATAGAACTGTCCTTGGTGCTGAATGACCTTCACACATGCTGATCCTGGTACTTTGACTCACAGAGCTGCTCATGGCATGGAATTTTACGTAGCTGTTCCTGGTGTTGAATGGCTTTCAAACTGCTGTACCTAGTGGAAGACAAACATATCTCTAAGATCTCTTCAACAGCTGATTATGTAACATTTTTTTTTCTTTCAGAACCTCCCAGTGGGGACTATAGTTTCACTGATGGTTTTGTACAACCCAGAAGGTATGCCTAAAAATATCTCTAAGCACACATAGTAACGTTAATATTTCGAATGTAGTCAATCATATAACACTGTTATCTAGCAAGTACATATTATTCTTAAGAACTATTCCATGACAAATCATATGAACTACATTTCAGAACAATGCTGACACATGCCCGTAGCCAGGATTTTGAATGGGGGGGGGTTCTTCCCACTGCTTGAGGGGACCTCGAGCGCCGAGGTTCCTAGGGGGGTCCGGGGGCATGCTCCCCCGAAAAATTTTGAAAAATGTACCTTCTAAAATGGCATTTCGTGCATTTTCGAGAGGATTTCCAAGAAAAAATCAGAGATAAATTTTTATACAATGACAAAGGGAGCAGTTTTTCTAAGATTCCAGTCCATCTTTTCAAGAAAAATCTTGGACCTTTACATAAAAAGTGGACCAAAAAGTGGACCTGTACATAAAAAGTGGACCAAAAAGTGGACCTTTACATAAAAAGTGGACAAAAAAGTGGACCTTTGAGCCTTGTGGGGGGGTTCTTCCGAACCCCCGAACCCCCCCTGGCTACGGGCATGCTGACACATGTAAGTTTTTACCTGTATGTAAACATTGTACAGTTGTATTCACCTGCACTGAGACTTCACTGTTCCTTATGTTTCACCCCACAGGAATGGAGGAGTATTACAAGACTGTTCAGTTCTGTCCAGGATGACATGAACTACTCAAGATGTGAATGGGAACCAAAGCTTCACATGTTGCAATGGACCAGGAAAGCCTGTGTCCTGTCCCACTTATATGTTACACTGAGCCAAAAATATGCTTAGAATAAGTTTAATGTATCACCCTATTACTGTATTCAAGTTGGGAGGTGTTTTATGCGCTTTATATAATTTTCTTATCATTCAATTTGATTGATAGGTACGACACTACTTACGGTTTATGTCTACTTTTGAAATGCGCTGACTTTAACATGACTGTGCCTATTTAACTAATATATGTGTGAACATTGTTATAGTCACTTGTAACTGGCCATGGCAAGGCCAATAGTGATGTAGAGCATACATATCTTTATCCATATAGCAGCTAAATTATCATCTTGTGACTAGATTTTAAGTTTCCCCCAACCCCTGTAGCAATGGTTTTAGAAATATGTAGTTGACATAATGATATCCAACATAAATGTATGTAAATGAATGTAAATTCCCAATAAAGAAGAGTCATCCAATGCACTCAAAGTCATGATATATATAATATATATTGTACTTCAAACCAGATACTTGTAACAGTAATCAGTAGGTGGATGCTAGTGTTAGTAAACAATACAAAGGTACAAAAAGTTGTCCATGGACAGTGGGAGAGAATCCATGCTATCTCAAATATTGTTCAACTTAGGTGGGACCATGAAGGATTGCTGAGGGTTGCTGCAATTGTTTTCCTTTGTTCTGAATTTCCATTTTGCATACATTACTATATATCATTACTTAAATCAACTTTTCAATTTCTTCACACAATGTGTGGCTGCATGGTTGTAAAATGCTTCTCATACAAGGTAAACATAGTAAACAAACAGACCTGGTCCATGCTGAGAAGTTTAGAGTACCACTTTTCAGTATGGAACAATTTTAGTCAATCAAAATCACCTTGTCAAAAAGGTTACCACAATTTCCCCTATTGAGATGTAAAATTCACAGTCCTATCGGTAAAATTAATCATATAACCCTAGTACAGGATGAACAAATACCTTAAATTGCCTTATTGCTTTCATGTGTAAAATGTACATGTATACCTCTACAGATACAATTAAAGAGTTTCATACAAAACTGTGCTTCTTATCAAAGCATCTAATATGGCAAAGCCTAGACCTGAAAACCTTTCTCCATACTTTTAACAAGTCTCTACCTTTCTAGGATTGTTCTATACCTATTCACCTTCCATCTACTAAACATCAAATGCCTACAGCATAAATAGTCTTCCCAAAATAGACTCTTATTTACAACAGCTGCCATGCACCAATTCAATTGCCACCAATAAATATATACCACACTTTTTACTATTTTAAGAGGTCCTGTACTACCTTAAAGATGTATAAAAGTATAAACTGTCTTAAAAATGTAAAAACATGCCATCACCAAATTTCTAACATTACTAGTCATGCCCACCTTTTAGAAAAATTTACTAATATATAGAGATAACAAACTCTTGTAGAATACGATAAAAACCCCTAATTAAAAGAAGCCATGTTAAACAGTGAATGCCCTGAGAGTGGAACATGTTTGGTCTGAAAGTGGAAAGTCAAACCAACTTCACTTTTACTATGCTGTGATTTAGATGCAGTTTTTTTCGTAAATGGTAGAAAAATGTTCTATTTATTAAGATAGTATACTAGTATTGCTTTGAATCCTTTGATACAAACAGATGAGAAAACAGTGTAAAATGGCCTTTGAGTTAAAGTAAATTGGTTTTCCTTGCGTTTTCCTGAATGAATGGTTAACGAGGAAAGATTTTTCACTGAGTTTCCTGCTCTGCCGCTACCCTTATCCCATCTGTCCCCCACCTATAGTGGTCAGCCACCTGTGCTGTCAACACAGGGCCACCAGAACCATCGACATCTCGAGTGCCGAGAAGCGCCACGCCACAGCCAGGCATGCCAGGACCATCCCCACAACCACAGCATACCGGGACAGCCTCTCGTACCACAGGCTGCCATTCAGGACATCCATGGTAGAGGCACAGGTGTAGGCTTCTCTGAAACGTGTGCCAAGTGTAGACAGAAGGGCTCGCACTTCGATCGACTTGACATAAGAGACCAGGTTGGTAGTTTTTGACACAATGATCACAGCGAGAGCAACCAGGGTTGCCCATACGATTAAACCAGGCCTCAAACAGTACAGCCAGAGAGAGGAAGATGAGTGTGGTTGCAGTGAGAGACTGAGCCAATGGATCCAGTTGGAGACCAGCAGGTAGAGACACTTGGACTCCTTTGTTCCTGAGGACATACCATGTTACTGCTATCCCTGAACAGGCAAGAGGAATCCACTGCCCATAGTAGACACCCAGAAGTACAGAGGACACTGTGGCTGCAGAGAGTAAACTCACTTCAGCAAGAGTCCGAGACATGTTGAGTTTGGGCAAGGACGGCTTGGGAAGGGTCAGGCTAGGCAGAGAAGCACTAACTCCCATCTTTCTGGTCACATACCACAATACGGCTACACCTGCAGCGATGGCTGACCACCACTGGTTGTAAAGGTAGCCAAGCAGCAGAGAGGCCATGGTTGCAATCACAAGGATGAGAACATCTTTGGAGAAGGAAAAGGAAGGTGTCAGTTTTGGAACTCTAGCAAAGACTCCCTTCTGACCAAGTATGTAAGTCACTCCTAGAGCAGCAACTACCCCTAGGGGATCCACTGAGAATACAGTACCCCGATTGCTACAGCACTGGCACTGCCCAAAGTAAGACTGCCAACTGCAAGGGATGGAGAGGAAAGACTTGGTCGTGGTATGGCTGCAAGAGTTGGAACTGTTGGCCAAACCTTTCTGGTGACAAAGACTGCAGCTAGAGCACAAACAACTGCTGCAGGAATCCACTGGGCATACAGAATGCCTGCAGCCAGTGCTGCTGCAGCTCCTAGCACCAGGATGACAGCACCCCTGGGAACATGGGGAAGGGATGTCTGCGATACTGCAGGGAGGAGGTACTTCCAAGCAAGATACCCCACAACTACAGCAACAATTCCAGCTAGTATCCACGGTACATAGACAGCTCCTGCACCAGAACTGGCTAGAGAGACTGGCGACAAGAGAACAGGCAGCTCCAAGAAACAGGCTTACAGGCCGATATGGGAAGTTAGGCCGTGGTGGGAGCGAAATTGATGGTAAAGATTGGAAAAGGCCCCTGTGGTAAGCTATGTAAGCAAGCATCAGGACACCAACAATGCCTAGTAGGGATCCACTGAGCATACAGAACTCCTATGGCAATGGCAGATGATGCAGCAAGCAGGAACACCACTGCAGAGAGTGGAATAGTGGAGAGGGCAGGCAGAGATGGGTTAGGCAGAGAAGGCAGGGAGGGCTGTCAGCCCACTTTTCTTGACTATGTAGTCTACAGTTAGACCCCCTACAACTCCAGCTGGGATCCAGGTACTATACAGGAGGCCTGCTGCTATGGATCCAGCAAGTGCCAGTAGAAGGAGTAATGGTATGTATGGAACAGTAGACATGGTAGGAAGTCTAGAAGTTAGCCCATAATGATGAGCTCCGTGTACTACAAACAGTACACCAACAATGCCGGCAGGAATCCACACTCCATACACAACCCCAACTGCAACAGCACCCACAGGTATGAGGACGTGCAGCCCAGCTTGGGCAGTCTGGAGCAGCGATGCACTTGATGGAGACGGAAGTGTCAAGCCACGCCTGCTGGCGACATAGCCGAGAGCACTGACACCAGAAACAGCAGCCGGTATCCACTGGCCATACAAAACACCAACAGCTACAGAACTGATGGCAGCAGTGAGCAGTAGGCCTGGCAGCAGAGAAGCTCTGGAGGGTGCAGCCACTGAGGGAAGTGACTCCAGTGCAGCAGTTCGCTTGAGGAGGTAACCAGTAGCAAGCACACCAATGATGGCTGCAGGGATCCACTGACCGTACAGGGCCCATACAGCTGCAGAACTTCCTGCAGCCAGCAGCAGTGTGAGCGGTATCAAGTAACGTCTAGCAGCCACTGCAGGCATTTCAGGGAGAGAGAGGCCTAGCCCCAAGTTTTTAAAAAAATAGCCCAGGACCAACACACCAAGAATGCCAGCAGGAATCCACTGAGAGTACAAAACTCCAAGCACTATAGTCCCAACCTGGGCTAGCAAAAGGGAAAGCTGCTGCAATGCTAGCTCTGAAGGGGCAGAGGAAAGTGAGGAAGTCTGTACAAGCTGATAGACAACAGATGTAACAATTCCTGCACCAACAACAGCTGCCGGGATCCACTGTCCAACTAACACCCCAATTGCTACTGATGCGGCACCCGTATGCAGGAACAACAGAAATAGCAGAAAAGTCTTGCGAGGAAGTGAGGGAAGTGAGAAAGAGCCTCCCAGCCAATAAATAGCATATAGTAAGCCATGTGCACCCACAAGTGCTGCAGGGAGCCACTGTGCATACCACACTCCTAATACTACTGATCCAACTGCAGAGAGCAGAAGCATCAGAGGCTGCAAGACAGTCTTTAGCGAAGCTGCAGAGGATGGAGACATAGATGTAGCCTGATAGATACCATACACAACAAGTAAGGTACCAGCAATGGCAGCAGGAATCCACTGGGCATACATAACTCCAACAGCTGCAGTACCAACTACAGCTGCAAGGAGCAACAATGGCAGTGCAATTCCTGCAGGGGATGTTTCAGGGAAGGAGACCCATTGCTGCTGCTTTGCAACCACTCCTGCTGCTATTACAGCCACAACTGCTGCAGGGATCCACTGGGAGTACAGAACACCGATAGCCACAGCTGAAGCTGAAGCTGCAGCAACCAGTAGTAGGATTGTCTCCAAAGAGAATGTAGGTGTGGAGGTATGGCCGTGTTGTTTGGCAAGAGCTCCTGCAGCTAGAACCCCAGCAACACCAGCCGGGATCCAATCCCCATAGAGAAAACCAACAGCAATGGATGCTACTAGAGCTGTGAGCAAGAGCAGAGTGAGTAAGGCAGCAATTGGGAGTGAGAAGGTTCTTACTGAAACACCAGAGACTCCAAACTGCCTCAGGAGCAGTAGAGCCACGACTGCGGCCACCACTGCGGCTGGTATCCACTGGCCATACAGGTAACCTAGCAGTGCTGAGGCAACAGAAGCAAGGGTCAAGACACCGGCTGCTGGGGAGGTGGAACCTGAAAAAGAGACCCCTACCTGATTTGCCAGGAAACACAGCATCGAGACTCCCACCCAAACAGCAGCCCACCACAGTTGGTAGTGCACACCTAGATACACAGCCGCCCCACCCGACAACAGCAGGATGATGACCTGTGTTGACAGGGACGTCCCTACACTCCTTGCTAAACACCAAAGCAGAGCGACTCCAGCCCAGAAGGCTGGCCAAAACTGGGGGTACAGGATGCCTAGGGCCAGAGCAGCAGCAGAGACTAGTATGACTACAGATTCACCCAAATGTGTTGATACCCCTGTTGAAGACCCTGAATTTGTGATGGCATGATACAGGGCAAACAAAGTAAACACAGACAGTATAACAATGGGTACAAGGAGCCACATGTACAAACAGGTGATGAGGTACAGTACAACTGCAACACATGCAAGCGTCACTACGATCAGGCTCGTCCGCAGGAGGAAGAAGAGGATGCTGGGAATGGTCAGACGTGCGCGAAGAGCTTCTCTCTTCCGATCCAGCATGACACACATGTAGACGTAGTCGTTGACGGACAGGCTCTGCCATAGCAGCAGGTACAGGGTCCAGAACACTGCAAGGACCAGCCGATCAAGGGTCATACAGGGGATGAGCCACAGCACCATCATCACACCTGTGGCACAAAATGTAACATTCTTATATACATTACATAATTCAATTTTCAGAAAATCATCAGTGCATCACAATTAATGATAATTCTTTAAAAGTATGATGGTTTGAAAATATTTGAATTCAAGTTGGAAGAGGTAACCAAATAATTCATCTTACCAGTGAAGATGGGGAGCCTATTGTTGCTGTAGAACTGTCGCACACTCTCTGACTTAATGCTCAGTGGGTCATCTAGTCCCAAGGCATAGTAATAGGCCTGTTAAGACAGAAAAAAGAAAGACAGTGCTATGATCAGAGGGCACAGTGTTAATACACAATTTCTATCAGCACTTGAAAATTTTAGAAGCTCTAAGATTTTCAAACTTAAGATATCATATCATACCACTGTTGTTTATCAAATTCCAAAGATTACTGAAAATGTAACAGAAATAGGGAGCTTTAGGAAAACAATTTTGCTCCCAACATCTGCTTGTAGATAATATTCAGCAGTATAATACTCAGTTCAATATTCCTCAAACATTGTCTATCTACACTTGATCTCCTAGGCTCTAACTATGTATAATTTACTATAAGGAACAACACTTACCTGTTTGACTCCCATCATCTCAGGATAGTCCAGGATGACAGCAGAACCAGAGATGGACAGCCAGCCAAAGATGTGGACCAGTGTGAACACTAACCACAGGAACTGGCTGGTCTTCACAGGGAAGTCCCAGAAAGGGTCAGACCCTCCAACAGTCTTCCAGTTGTCTATGGCTACCTGTTGATGCAAATGTGTTATTTGTCAATCCAAGTGAAGGAGCATGCTTACTTAAACTTATCCTTTTTATCCCTTGCAAGACATGCAAATGAAGCAGTATACAAATGAAGGAGTATGCAAATAA